TCCTATACAGTTCATTATATGAACAAAACAAGCTGCAAAATATATTGCATTCCAGCGAGTAGCGCGGCTTCGGAACGCACAACGCTAGAAATTTAGTAACAGAAAAGCGTTGCTTATTCTATTCCACCAATCCTTACAAAATTAACCAGATAATGTTTTAAATTCTAATATAAAACAAGTAAAAAAGCTAAAGTCGCGTATCCCGACTTTGAAATACTCTGTACATATTTGTAGAATAATTAAGCGTGTATGTGTGTGTTTTTCGGGAAAAACCCCCATAGGGGGGAAGTGGGGGGAAAGTCAAAAAATAAAACAAACTTGCACAGCGTACACACAAAATTTGGTGTTTCTAGCTCTGTGGCATACCCCTCAAAGTATATATATTCTTGATCAGGATGGCAGGGCGAGTCGATATAGCCATGTCCGCCTGTCCGTCCGTCTGTATGAACGCAAGGATCTCAGAAAGTATAAGAGCTAGAACAACCAAACTTGGTATCCAGATTCTCCTAAGTCCGAGAAAGGACGAGTTTGTGTTTTTTTTCTGATACACCTCCCCACTCCCCCGCAATTCATGTTTTTCATAACTCCTGGAATTTTGAACTTAAATATGGCAAATACTTCCAGTTAGTGATTATGTGTCCGTATGTTAAGTTTCACTATGATAGACCAATTTAACAAGAAGTTATGGTCATAAATATATTTGCTGCTGCAGCGCTGCTCAAGCGCTGCCCGCGGCTGTTGTTGATGCTGGTGCTTTGGTTGACTGCACACTAGACAGCTGCATGAATGGCAAAAAACCACATTCAAATGTACAATGCTCAAAATGAGTTGAGTGAATTAGAATGCAAAGGCAAACTGATATGTATTTTCAAAATTTTAGTTCGAAATTCCAAGAATTACGGGAGTTAGAGAAAATCGCGATTTGCGGTGGAGAAGGGGGAGGGAGGGAAATTCCAAAATAAACATTTTCTGCGTATTCACACAAGGCATCTTGGATTAAAATTTGGTGTTCCTAGGTCTTATAGACTCTGAGATATAGGCGATTATACGAATGGAAAATCGGGAAAACCCCCATAGGGGGGAAGTGGGGGGGGGGAAGTGGGGGGGGAAATCAAAAAAATAAAACAAACTCGTATAGAATACACACATAAGGCATCTTTGTGCAAAATTGGTGTCTCTATCTCTTATAGTCTCTGAGATCCAGGTGTTCATACGGACGGACAGACGGACAGACAAACAGACAGGGCTAGATCGACTCGTCTCGTCATGCTGATCAAGAATATATATACTTTGTGGGGTCTGCCACGCCTCCTTCTGCCTGTTACATTTTTCAGCTCCCGCAAACCTAATATACTTCTGTACATTTCATGTACAGAGTATAAAAAGTAGCATTCACACACAGAATCCAAAACAACCAAACCAATGGCGTACTCAACTTTTTCCAAAGGGGGGCCCCAAAAAATTAAAATTTTCGTCAAATAATGCACGATGCGTTAAAATAATAATTTATGCATAGATCAATAGAAAACTTTAAGAAATCCAACTCAGTTCCATTTTAAGGCGAAATGTGCACCAGAAAAATGAATGTGGTGTCACATTCATATGGCGTACGCCCTTGAACCAAACCCACTAGGCGCAAATAGAAAATTACATTTTTTGTACATCACATTTTGCTGAATAAAATCTTATTTTGTCAACCAACGATAAAAATAATATATTTACTTGACGCAATTCTTCTTTCAAATAAGTACCAAATAAGTGTGTATTCATTAAACAAACTTGGCAAAAATGTTGTGTAGCAGAGTGGGCAGTTATGTTTGTTAGCGATAATTTGAATTGTTATAAACTGCCATGTAAATAGACAATACGGACCAGCGAAACAAAATGTAAGTACATTTTTGTAATTTATGAATTCAATTTCAAATGCTAGTCTCTGCATGGGGAAAACATATATCGCCACAACAACACGCAATTTTCGTCCAATTTATGGAATTCGAATTCACGTAAAGGGTGTATAATTGCACATTTACATAGGAACCGTGTCTATGTGAGTGTAAGCATGTCTATACGTGTCTATTCGTGTCTGTGTAAGCTGAAGAATGTAACAGACCGAAAGAGGTGTGGCAGACCCCACGAGGTATATATATTTGTGATCAGCATGACAAGACGAGTCGATCTAGCCCTGTCTGTCTGTCCGACCGTCCGAATGGACACTTGGGTCTCAGAGACTATAAGAGCTAAAGACACGAAATTTTTTCATAACTCCCGTAATTATTGGAATTTTTCAGTCAAATTTGGCAAATATAAATATTACAATTTTTATACCCTGTACCCGTAGGGTAAAAAGCGTATATTAGGTTTGTGCAAAGTATGTAACATGCAAAAGGAAGCATCTCCGACCCTATAAAGTATATATATTCTGAATCAGCATGACGAGAGAAATCGATCTAGACATGTCCGTCCGTCCGTCTGGATGAACGCAAGGATCTCAGAAACTATACGCTAGAACAACAAAAGTTGGTATCCAGATTCTCCTAGCTTCGAGAAAGGACGAGTTTATTTTATTTTTTTTAATTTTCCCCCCTTCCCACGCTACAGAATAGCGCCCACATTTCAAATGCTACCTATACCAAACTTAACAAACACACATAATTTATATATAATTACCTACTGTTGTTTATCAAATTCGGTAAATTCTAAGAAAAGTTATTAGCGAAACAAATTCTCTCCAGTACAACCCCCCAAACTGCAGCAACAAGTTCGCTCTTCTTTGGCGCTCATACAGACGGACGGACGGACAGACGGACATGGCTATATCGACTCGGTTTGTCACCCTGGTCAAGAATATATATGTATATACTTTCTGGGGTCTGCCACGCCTCCTTTTGTGTGTTACATACATTCGCACAAAACTAGTATAGCCTTCTACCCTCTGGGTACAGGCTATATTATTTGTTTACTTTTTACTGCATATTAATTTTTCTTAGAATTGATTTAGGTCGGGTTTTTTATTTTAAAGTTGTTTATCAACACTAGTGCCTAAAAATTACACGATGTGTGCCTCCATCAATGCTCCAGAGCTTTTACTGCATCAAATTCGTCGCCTTTATCGTCGAGTAAATAGACAATTTCCCGTCCGAAACAAACAAATCCAACTATAGGTCATTGGTCAAGTCTGACAAGTTATAAAGTTTCCGCACTCGATCCGCCATTTCGTTTTATTTTCAAATTTATATTAAGAACTAGCAGGTCTTGCCCGTCTTTGCTGGTTCAGTATATATTTATATGATATTTCTCTTCCGACACTATCTAAAGTTTTTAAACAGTTAATTTCCCCAAACAGCAAATTACTTTGGTACGATTCGAGAGCTAGTACGTAAAGTACAATAAATACTATGTATGGTTATATGTACATATATATATATATGTATGTAAATCAAGTAATTTCTAGAATTTAAAGCTGTACAATTTGGCAAAGTTATTTGGTCAACTTATGTATGCAACTGCACAACATTTAAATGAGCATACACACATACATATGTACTCTTTAATGAAAAGTTACAAAAATACAACGTAGTTTGTCAGAGTAAATAAATATATAATAACACAAACTTTCCATTTGGAAAATAATGAAGAAATATTAAAACCCCAAAACTTAGTGCTCACCTACAGCTTTCTAGCTCTTACCGTTTGGGCTGTGGGCTGTTGACGCGGGGGTTACTTTTGTGCCCTAAGAAGCCCCCCATAATTCAGTACCCAAGAAAAAATGTCAAAACCGAGTATGCAGTTTTATTTGTATTCTTTAATTGATTTCAGAAATTGATTAAGTCGATCAGTTGAAAAATGGGGATTTTTCAAACAAACTTTGGAGCTTGTTTTCCCCCTTTGGAGCTCGAATTTTCTAAAAAAGTGCCCTTAGTGCGCACCTACACTATGATAGGATACTTGATTCCAAGTTTCAGCTTCCTAGCTTTTACCGTTTGGGCTATGCGTTGATCACCAATCAGTCAGTCAGGACAAACGGTTTTATATGCATACATACATACATACACACATATATAGATATTCATGTGTTTCCCAAAAACAAGCTTCAACAATAGCTTACTTGGAGCGTCTAGAGTGCATCAAGGCACCTATCACTATTTGACTGCTACAACGCACAATTTTTATATACAATTTTTATGTACATATTTGCCAACATGAAACTCTGTTTTGATAGTTAATAATAATATCTTTGAAGAAAATAATTATGAATGGTATCGATTTAATAAATTTACTCTTACCAACAAAACAAACTACACCATAATTAATAATTAAATAATCAATAAAGTGTTGGCACAGGCAGAAATTTTAATGTGCTTAATACTTATTATTGATGGGTTTTGCCAATTTTTTTTGGATGCAGTTAGTTTTATTCGCTAATTATCTACAAAACGCATAACACGGACGTAGTGGAAAAATCATTGCTTGTTTAGATTAAAAAAGTGCTATTAAAAGCTTTAGGGAGCTTTAAAATCTTCTGCAAATACTTTGGGGTGTTTATTTAAAAAGGTCTTTTTTTCGTTAATGCGAATGCACCTTATTCTGTTTCTACATGGTTTTAACACGGTTTGAAAAAAAAAATTTTATATATGGTTAAACGACTTTATACCATTAGGCACGATTCAAAATAAAAAATGATCAACGTCTTTTTTTATACGGTTTTTTTTACACGACTTTTTCTGGAACCAATCTACCGTGTAAAAACAGAATTAGGTGTAATATAAAAAGTGAGGCACTTATACGTGTTACGAGGGTTGTCATTCTGTTACATGAATACTTTATTGTCACTGTGACTAAGTAACAGGTATACATATACAAAAATATTGCTCATCTCTATTTATCGCTTCACTGCTTGCTCATTGGAGAAATGCCTAATTGAAGTATAAGTATTAAAATTTATATTTACAATTATGTACATACATATAATATATTTTACTTTTGCACTGCAGGAAATATGTTTCCAATATCTCAAACAATAAAAAACATCTTTCAAAAACATATCTATAGTTTATGGTTTGGCCGTCACTTACGCTGTAGTCTGCCTTTCTTTTGTGAGCGATATTTGTCAGGAAGTGCCGCTGGCGATGTCTCTCCACAAAAGCTGTTGAAGTTTTCTCAAAATCTTTTCAAAACGCAATCTAGATATATGAGTAGGGTCATTGTAATTCAACAAGATAGACGCCGATTTTTTGCGGAAATTAATGGAGTAACTGCGACCTTAAGCTACAGAGTAAACAATGGAGTCATGACAATCTTGCATACGGTTGTTCCGGAAGAGCTTAGTGGACGCGGGATCGGAAGGATTCTAGCTAAGGTTTCTGTATTGTTTCTTTTGCTTAGCCCTTACTCCGAAGCAGTCGACGTTTATATATTCAAGTATATACATATGTATGTACATACATACATGCATATGTATGTACATACATACATGCATATGTATGTACATACATACATATGTATGTACATACATACATGTGCTCATGCATTTTATAACTATTCGAACAAGTACTTTACATTTGTGTATGTACATATGTATGTATATTTAAGCACTTACAATTTGGGAAACCACAACAGTATTGTTGCTATGCATTGGCGTTGCTATGATTTAATATTTGAAGGTTTCTATACATACATATGCACGTATGTTCATACAAAAGAGTTTTAGTAAATGTTTGGTAATATGTACCTTCGCATGTTTCGGGTTTTTTATCGCATTTAATATTACAAAACATACATATGTAAATTTTATAAACATTTTCGTTCTAGGCGGCACTGGATTTTGCACTGAGCAATAATCTGTTCCTAATAATCAAGTGTACATTCGTTGAGAACTATATTTTCAAATACGAACCACACTACGCGAAATATATGTTACGTTAATCGTCTCAATTTAAATTGAGCCACCAAACGTTGACGCCATGAATGATAATTACTTTAGCAGTCTGGTGCTATATTATGGGAGGTCTCGCTTTTATTATTCTATGCAAAAAGTCGCGTTGGACGGTTTGGCAAAGTATCCAATGCAATCTAAATTCAGATTCTTTAATGGCATGGCTCTTGTCTTGGGTAATACATATCTACAGGAAGGCATTCGAGAACTAAGCCCTCTTAGAAATGAACCAGACTTTGAATTGGCAGCAACAATGGCTCTTATCTATGCACACAAGTGTTGCCGCATTGTAGATCAGGACGCTCTACTAATTCAAGAACGCCGGCTTAATGACGCCAGAAATTCAACAAATCCTACGTCATATTATTATGCTGCATTATTTTTATATCTTAGGAGCGAAATAGATCTTGCTCGTAAATATGCTGATAAAGCTACTAAAATAGACGCAAATTTTGACTTGGCAGTAGTGTTGAAGGCCTGGTGTGACTTATCATCAATTCAGCCTATGACTGGAAATATGCAACAAATATTAGAATCTTGCATTACTCACAGCGATGGAAAAAATATTGATGCTTCTTTAGCACTAGTTCGCTTCTATCAAACGCGTGGTAATTTTGAGGAAGCCGTTTTGACTCTAAATAAGATTTCGGTTCGGTACCCCGAACTAAACATACCGCTCATTGAGAAAATGGAAACACATCTAGCTGCTAGACACTGGGATCATGCAATGGAAACGTCAATGCGTGTTATTAACTTAGATCCAAACAATATCGCCGCCCTACGAGTTAAGTGCATTATTTTGATTGGACGTGAGAGTAATTTCAAGCCAGCGGTATCCACCCTTCAACAATTACTAACTGCTGTAGAACGCATAGAAAGTGGCAACCACTCGCTAATCCTTCAAATATGTCGACTATTTTCTAAAATATGCTCGAGAAATGCTGATATACTTCAGATCACATTGCGCTATGTCGATAAAATAAATGAAATAAGTCCAGGCAACTTAGATATTCTTACCGAACTGGGTTATCAAAGATTACTGCAGAATAACCTAACTGGTGCAGAAGCTGCATTTCGTGCAGCAAGTAACATTAATGGAAGCAATTTTAACGCAGTTTGCGGAATGACGCTATGTAAAATAAAAGCCCAAAGGGATGACAAGGATATACAGTATATAAAACAGCAGCTGGCATTTCTTAACGACTTATGTGGAAATGAAAAGGTTCCGATTATTTTGTATATGTCCGCTTTGTTGCCTGGACAGGGCCAGGAAACATCGGTGCAGCTATTAATACAGGCTTTTGAGCGGCACGTTCAAGTTCTACAGGCTTCACTCGTTGGGGTCAATTACATAAATCTATTGAATCCGGATTTTCTGCTTGAGTTAACTGTTGAGTTGCTGCGTCACCGCCCTATTCCGATTTCACTTAAAACGAAAACCGATTTATGTTTTGAGTTAAGCCACCATGAAACATTGAATATTACTTTGAAGCATTGTCGTAGCATTCTAGAAATCATTACACATGTTTTCCCTGGACATATGCAAGCTCTATATATGATCGCAAAAATCGAGTTCTTCTGCGGGGAATTTACAAATGCTATATGGCGCCTGAAAAACATACTTCATATAAACGAAATGTATACCGATGCGCGACTTCTGTTAGCTGAAGTATTTGTCCAGGAAAACCAAATGCCGGAAGCACTGCACTCCTTAGAATTGGCATTATCTCACAATTTTGCAGTCAGGGAGCGCCCAATGTACCATTTGCTGCTTGGTATCATACAACGACACCACCAACTTTCTGAGGCACATCAAAGTTTTTTAAACGCTATGCAATTGATTGGAGATCGGCCTATTGAACAATATGGCGAACACAATCCACAATGTCAGACATTTAATGAAAATACATTTACTAAATCTGATAAGATGACGTTGTACCTGGAGCTAATTTACACTTTACGAGATATTGGCGACGCTCAATCCGTTTATGAAAGCGAACGCCTTTTACAGACTGCAATGGACGAGTTTAGCGGGACTGCAGAGGAAGGTCGTCTTATTATTGTACACGCTGATATAATGCTTCAAAAATATAATGTTTCGAAAGCTATAAGCTTACTATCTGCGATTAAACCGTCCCATCCGTACTTCCTTCAGGTAAGTTTGGACATTGTCCCTACATAATTTTGTCAAACAATTGAATACATATTCATAAGTATATGTACACTAGCGTCCTGCCCCTGAATCGCACTGATATTTTTACAAAAATTTTAAAAATTATACATTTTATGACACACACACACTTAAGAAGGGTGTATTCTTTTTGCTATGAGTTACTAAGGAGTCAAATTTATTTTTGGATATTATTTTAATGATTTTTTGTTCGTTTTTAGATTTTTTGTGTTATTCTTTATTAGGTTCATGTTTTATTTTGTGGTAGCAAAATAAATTGGTTTTCAGGAGCTCCGACCCGTGATAGGTCAACATACAGTAAAACATTGCTTTCGTATGTCGATCCCTACTAATTCGAAGGCTTGGCCTTGGGACTACCAGAAATTGAAGCCATATAAATGATCAAATGGCATCATCGGTATCCTCGTTATATGAGCTAGTTGACCAGTTGCTGGGCCCTTGATAATAGGTGCTACACTTAAATTGTTCTGCAATTCCTTAATAAGCAGCCTCGTCCCATTGCACATGATTGGCAGGCATTAATTTCTCAAAAGAATGATTGCAATTCCGAATTTTACCGTTAATTCATGTGCGGCAGTCCAGAAGGGCTTAGTGAATTTAAATGTCTTTAATATTAATTACGGTGTCGATCGATTTGTAATCTTTTATTTGGCTGGGGGCTTTTGAATAATATTGCTTTAATATTTATCAATGTTTCGAGAATGTTTATAAACTAACAGCATGCTATTCAGGAGTTTTTTAAGGTAATTTTTTTACACCTTTGGTTTCAGTAAGGATTCCATTCTTTTTTGCAAATATAATATAGCCCATTTTAACCGTTAATAGTGTAGCTTTCCAACAGCGAAGGAATCCACTAAATCGGTCCAGTAGATTCGGAGCGTTTTCAATTCAAACAAACAAACAATCAAATCTTTCCTCTTTATAATATTAGTATAGATAACATATATAGAAATATAATATTTGTAGAGAATATTAAATATTTAACTTATAATTTCATAAAAAAAAATATAATACAATACCATAGACTACATTTTATAGATTCATACTACACCCAACATATTATTTTAATGATTTTTTGTTCGTTTTTAGATTTTTTGTGTTATTCTTTATTAGGTTCATGTTTTATTTTGTGGTAGCAAAATAAATTGGTTTTCAGGAGCTCCGACCCGTGATAGGTCAACATACAGTAAAACATTGCTTTCGTATGTCGATCCCTACTAATTCGAAGGCTTGGCCATGGGACTACCAGAAATTGAAGCCATATAAATGATCAAATGGCATCATCGGTATCCTCGTTATATGAGCTAGTTGACCAGTTGCTGGGCCCTTGATAATAGGTGCTACACTTAAATTGTTCTGCAATTCCTTAATAAGCAGCCTCGTCCCATTGCACATGATTGGCAGGCATTAATTTCTCAAAAGAATGATTGCAATTCCGAATTTTACCGTTAATTCATGTGCGGCAGTCCAGAAGGGCTTAGTGAATTTAAATGTCTTTAATATTAATTACGGTGTCGATCGATTTGTAATCTTTTATTTGGCTGGGGGCTTTTGAATAATATTGCTTTAATATTTATCAATGTTTCGAGAATGTTTATAAACTAACAGCATGCTATTCAGGAGTTTTTTAAGGTAATTTTTTTACACCTTTGGTTTCAGTAAGGATTCCATTCTTTTTTGCAAATATAATATAGCCCATTTTAACCGTTAATAGTGTAGCTTTCCAACAGCGAAGGAATCCACTAAATCGGTCCAGTAGATTCGGAGCGTTTTCAATTCAAACAAACAAACAATCAAATCTTTCCTCTTTATAATATTAGTATAGATAACATATATAGAAATATAATATTTGTAGAGAATATTAAATATTTAACTTATAATTTCATAAAAAAAAATATAATACAATACCATAGACTACATTTTATAGATTCATACTACACCCAAAACGCGATGTATGTATGCACATGTATATATTTTTACTAGCTGGTCTTGCCCGTCTGTGCTGGGCTCCGTATTTGTGCTTACAATTATAAGTTTATTTATTTATGTCTCTTTCGACACTCTAAAATTTCTAGAGCTAGGACATAAAGTACAATAAATACTATGCATGTTTATACGTACATACACATGTATGTAAATCAAGGCAAGTAATTTCTAGAATTAAAAGCTGTACAATTTGGCAAAGTTATTTGGTCAACATTTAAATGAACATACACACATAAGTACATATATCATAATTATATCTTCTACTCTTTATTGAAAAGTTACAAAAAAACAACGCAGTTTATCTTGTATTCTTTCTCAGAGTAAATGCAAATTTCAAGTTTAAAGTTTCTCGGATTTCTAATTTTCTTAAACCACTTCTTGGTGCTCACCTACACTTTGACAGCTTTTTAACGCTTACCATTTGGGCTGTTCGTTCATTGCACATACCCACATACATACTATCTATATATATAAAACGGTTTGTCCTGAATGACTGACTGATTGGTGATCAACGCACAGCCCAAACGGTAAAAGCTAGGAAGCTGAAATTTGGACTCAAGTATCCTTTCATAGTGTAGGTGCCCACTAGATTTGGAAAATTGGATGTATGAAAAATCTACAAACTTCATCTGACATATCCAGTTAGTGAATTTATATCCGTATAACAAGTTTTATTTTGATATGTTGATTAGAAAGAAAATTATAGCCATATACCCGGACCCAAGCTCTGTCCGCAGGTGTATTTGTTACTGCTTTGACATAATTATGTAATGCACACATACATACATATGTATGTACAAGTACACAAACACGCACGATTCTGATGTTAATGTAAATGTATGTATGCATGTATGGAATATTTTATATTTAATTTAATTAATTAAATTTTTTAATACATTTTTTTGGGGGTTGATACAGGGTATTTAAGAGTTGAGCCTGATCGACTTTAGCATTCCTTTCTTGTTTTAAATTGGTCTTGGAGGTTAAAATATTGGGGTTTTAATATTTCTTCATTTTTTTCAAATGAAAAGTTTGTGTTATAAATGTTGTCCGATCGATTTCAAATTTGGTATCCGTAATCAACATAACTATGTATATCTACAATTTGGCATTCAATGATTTTCGAAATATAGATATTTTGCAATATCAAACAGTTGGGGACATCACATAATCACACTTACACAGTGACCCACTCACAGACGCAAACGGAGATGGGCAAAGTCGGTGCTTTATATTGTTCGTGGCACATCGCTGCACTGCGTGAACACGAGTGCCGTGTTTCATATTCCAATTTCGTGCGTGTTCGTGCACAAAGTCTACTTTAAAACGTTGTGTTACACAATGTTAATGTTAGACACATAAATTAATATTTTGCGAAATAGTAAAATATATGTATGTAAATTACATGTAATGTATGTAATTACATCGACTTTTATTCCATTTACAAAGAATATTTTGTGTATCCATTCACCGTGCATACGGATTCGTGTTTTTTTTACAGCCAATTAGTTGATCGTGCTGTGACGGACCGAAAAAAGCCGACACATGCATCTCTAGCATCGCAGCTGATCGCATATTTACAAGCGATTTACCGTTTGTGTTAAACGGTTGCGTCAGCTAACAACGCTACAAATGTCTTCTGAAGAATTCTGGGAGGCATTAACCTTATTCCGTGAATGTATTCTTGTGATTTACAAAAGCAGAAACACGCCTCTTACACTCACAACATTCATATATATATTCAAAAACCGCATATGGATAAGTGTTGAACTGTACTATTGAATACATACACTTACATATATGTACATATAGATATGTACATATGTACATGCATATGAGGATAGATACTGCCTGCATCAAAAAAAAAGTACATATGTATGTATGTACATATCAGCGTTACCAGACGTCCCGATTTTGTAGGGACATTCCGATTTTAGAATCAAAATTAAATATCCCGCGCGGGACAGGCTCAGTTTTGCTTTTCGGGAATAACTCGAGCACGCGAGCAGCGTGCTGAGGAATTTCAGACGAGTTGCACTTATGAATGAGAACTGTATGTTTTCGACATTATTATTTATTTATTTATGTGTACATATGTATGTACAGCCAACTCTCGTTAATACGGAACTCAAGGCACTCTTAAAATATTATGAATTATCGAGTGTTTGAAATATCAAATGCTTCGAAATTTGTGAGAGAAAATAAATAAAATTCGAATTATTAAGTGTTGATCAATTATTATTTATTAACTGCTATTCTATAACAATTTCAAAAGAGTAACAGTAAGGTTAGTGTACAGTTAGATGCGTAGAAGTTTGCTTGCTGGTATGAAGTGCGGCGCGACGGGCGGGGCTAGCACCTGTACGTTGATACAAGTTTTGTCGCAAAATGTACTTACATACAATCTTTCCGCCTCTTTCTCTATGCAACTGTGAATTGTCGAGTGTTAGACGCCGATGAGTTCGAATTAACGCGTCGTTCTGTTATATAGCAATGATTTTTTCGTTCGAATTACCAAGTGCATAAAAATGTATTGATTTAGTTCGAAATATAAAGAGATTTTGTAAGGAACTCGTGGTAACATTGAATTATAGAGAGGTTCGAATTATCGCAGATTTCAATTAACGAAAGTCGACTGTACTTTCATTATAATAATTATTTCTTCTACTTTTTAATGAAAAGTTACAAAAAAACTACGCAGTTTATGTTTCTCAGAGTAAATACACCAAGTTTAAAGTTAATCGGATTTATAATTTTCTAAAACCACTTCTTAGTGCTCCCACTCACTCAAAGCAAACTTGTGTCCTAATTTGGGCTTCTTAACGCTTCCTATTTGTGCTGTGCATTGATACAAGAGTTTATAAAATGTGCTCACTACCTGCTGCTACCTGTAAGAAATTCTGCCGCGGGTATTAGTGGGTCGCTGCCGGCCGAGCCCGTGGGTAATGTGGGTCGCTGCCGACAGCAGCAGACTAACG